TTGGACATGATTGAGACTAAGGTTGAAACCTGAAGAAAACAGTACCCGCCCAGGTGGTACAATGGGTTAAAGCTTGCACTATGAAGCTAGCCAAAGCCTCTTCAATGCAAGTTAGATCCCTAGCCTGGGAAGTGACCCACATGGCATGGCAGCCCTCCTCTGACCCACCCACTACTCCCCTCAGCAGTGTATTTCATCAGTCTGCCTATTCTGCCCCCCACTATGTCTCTGGTGAATCCTCTCACTGCCCCTGCACCTCTGGCCCGTACCCTAGTTCTGTGTGTATATGAAAATGAATCTTTAAAAAAAATGAAAAATGAAAACAATCTTCTTATGGACTCCTTAGATAGGAGTCAAAGAAAGATGGAAAGAAGCTAAAGTTTCTGGAGAAATGTGTATAGACCCAGACAAGAGACAGAATGAATTAAATGCTTTGAAACCTGCAAAATAATATTAGATACCTTCAAAACCTAGCAAAGATAATAAGGGAGTAGGAACAGGACATCCCTAAAAATCATATAGAATAGGGAAAGACCATGAAGAAGATAGAACTGGATGAGTTTGAATTAAGCAACAGCAGAAAGCTCCAGACTTGGTGACAAGGCTCTGGATAAAGAATGAAGTTAGTGGTTTCAAAATTCCAATAAGGACAGAGAATAAAGATTCAGAAGTAAAAGTTAAAAAAAAAAAAAGACCAACAGAAAAAAGGACAAGTGTGTAGGGATTATGCCAACTGAAGTAAACTAGAAGGAAAAGATAAATATTGGATGGTTTCACTTCCATGCAGAATATAGAGAAACCAAGAAAAAGACAAAGCTGGCAAGCTTAGGCAGGCTTAGTCAGCCTAGGCAAACAGCAAAGGGAGGAGAAGGTGAGGTTCAAGACAGGGGAGGGAAGAAAAAAAGGGGTCTCTGGTGATGGTTCACACATCACAGATGACACTGAGAGAGGACACCATGGTGGGAGAACTAAGGGGCCTGCAATTGAGGGGAGAAACCAATAACTGCACAAAAATGACAAATGATGTAAGGAAATAATCGATAGATGATAGATAGATAGATAGTTAGATAGATAGATAGATTAGATAGATAGATAGATAGATAGATAGATAGATAGATAGATAGATAGATAGATAGATAGATAGATAGATAGATAATGGCTAGAGAGGCAAGAAAAAGTGACCAAGTCATCTTCTCTCTTTTCCTCCGCTGTTCCTCTGGTGAGTACAACTAGAAGTGAGTAAATGTCTTTTACCATCACAGATAATTTGTCCACAGGTTTTTTTTTTTCCTCTTATTTCAACAACACCAGAAGTTGATGATTTCACTCCACATGTTATATCAGTATTTCAAATCCTAAATTTTGGTTTGTACCATCATTGTGGTTCAATTGATGCTTAATACTCTAAAAAAGGGAAGAAATGCTTCTAGGAGCTTTGTGGAGATTCTACTCACTCTTATAAGAAGCAAAACACTTCATAGGCTTAGTTACAGTGATACATAAAACTTCACTCATTCCTTTAAAAAAGGATAAAAGATGGAGTTAAGAACACTGGCCCACTAAGGTCAAGTACATCACTGGGCAAAACTGATGCAGATCAGGTCAGCCTCAAAAAAAGACAAAGAACACCTTTCTCCATGTAGACTTACAGAACAGTGGCTGCCTTTCCTGCTTCTCCTCTCTCCTGGGAGTGAGGTGAAGCCCCTCTTCCTTCTTGGACAATGGCATCCATTCAGGCAGGCAATGAAGAATAACTGGGAACAACAGAAGGTGGTAGGAAAACTCCAAGAGCAGCTTGTTGTGGAAATGAGCAAAAATCCCTTCCCCAGGTCAGTTCTGTAGTGTAGGCTTCTCTGTATCCACAGGAATAATTTCCAGTCATATGATCTTCAGTCATATGATTTGAGTTAAAATGATATTCTCACCTGAGAGTGACTGTCCTGCAGTAGACTCTGGCTATGTGTGGGGAATCTTTGCCTGTCACAACTAAGGAGTTTTTCGCTACTGGCATCTAGTGATTTAAGACAAGGGATAGGCCCACATACCTCAAAACATGACAAATAGTCGTCTAGTAGAAAATGTCAGTATTGTCAAGGATGGACATTCTTGCATTAAGATATTAGAAATCCAGTACTTTTAAAATGTCTTTTAAAGATTGCTCTTTATTTTTTTTAAGATTCGTTTATTTATGCATACAAAACTGGGGTGTAGACCTGAGATGCAAATACAGTGAGAGAATTCACCAGAGGCAGAGTAGGGAGCACATCAATGAAGTACACTGCTGAGGGGAGCAGGAGGCAAGACAGGAGAGGTCTGCTGCGTCATGTGGGTCAGCTCCCTGGCCTGGGATCGAACTCCACTGGTGCTGAAGTGCTGTGGCTAGTTTCGAAGTGCTGAGCTTTAACCTGTTGCTCTGCCAGGGAGGGCCCAAAGATTGCTATTTAAAAATGATTTTATATTTCAAAGTGTTAATGTGTAAAGGAATAATCTATAGTAGTCATGTATATAGGAACTTCAGGGTACAATTAAACAATAAACTCTCTTTATAATGAAAAGAAAGCACTTTTTTCCCTCCAAACTCTGAACATCCATACATAAGTAATGGATGCAGTGAATATGTCTAAAATTTTTAAAAAGATTTATTTATCCATACAAAAACTGGGGTACAGGCCAGAGGCATGGGGTCAGAGGAGGGAAGAAAGGATTCACCAGAGACAGAGTTGAGAGCAGAACAGGCAGATGGACTCAAATACACTGCTGAGTGGAGCAGCAGGCAGTCAGGAGAGGTCTGCCATGCCATGTAGGTCACCTCCCTGGTAGGGGATTGAAGTTGAGCTGCAGTGGCTGTGATAGCTTCATGGTGTTGTGCTCTAACCTGTTGTGCCACCAGGGAGGACCCCTGTCTAAAAATTCTGAAGGAATTTAAAAAAAAAAAAGCTGCTCACTATGTTTGTAAATTAAGTCATTGTAACAGCTGCATCCCCATCTCTGCAAAAGGATCTATCAAGGAGGAGTGAACCAGGATTTCCTTGACTTAATGGAATACACACCCATTGTTTTCCATATGAAATAGATACAGAGATGAAGAACAAGAGGGTATACATGGTCCTTTTACTAGACCTTAAAGAAATTCATACTGGTGAGTAAAAAGGAAAAGAAAGGATTGCCTTGCATGGTTATTCCACTCTGTGCGCTATCGCAACTTACCAGATGTGTTCCTTCCTGAGACAAGCCCTTTCAGAGTTAAGAGACCTCCCTCACTGCTCACATGAGGGCTAATCTGGCAGAAAAGTCACTGTTTCACTCTGTTTAATAAAACTTCAGTTTAACCCTCAATCTCAGCAGACCATGAACTTCCTGGAACAAATGTATCAAAGCTTCTACCTGTATCCTTAGTGTCTAGTGCAGAGAAAATATCCAATAACTATTTCTGAATGAATATCAATATTTTTATAAACAATGATGAGACATTGAGGGATTGGTAGTAGCTTCAAATTTTATAAATCAGAAAAAAAAATGAGTCAGAGTTTAGATGAAGGTTACATGACTCAAGATGAAAAGCCATTAACTATTTTTAGCTCCTTTTAACAGCTGGGAGTCAGCCCTAACTTGGTGTTTAATTTCCAGGGTAAAGAGGACCAGAACAATTGAACAGACTGGAAAGGTGACTTAATCACCTATTCTGATTCATGGCTTAGTGCATTCCTAGTCACTGTCATCAAAAGTCATAAAAAAAAAAAAAAACATAGTTGGTGTTCTATGAAGAATTTTTAATGGCAATGATTGTAAGTCAGGGACATTTTAACATAATAAAAAACACTGACCTATTGTGCCAGGAAAGTGTTGCTACTTTCATGCAAAAAGATAAGATGCCTTCACTGTTATAGATGCTGAGAGTAACTTACACATGCATAAAATCAACCTGATCAGCTCATTATTTATTCAATAAATCCTTTTTTGAGTTTTGAATCCGTGTGAAGTTCTTTAGTGGCTAATATGAGGGACTCATCTATGAATCACGGTTCCCTCTGACAGACTTTACCATTTATTTGAAAGAAGGGGGAAATACAGGGAAAAGTAGCAAATCATTTAAGACCAATCTGTAAATAAAGACTACATTTTGTTTTACAGAGGAAGACTGTGTCCATGCTAGAGAAACCATCCATCTGTAATAGCTAAAGACCCAGTAAGACACAGCTCCTTCTTGATCCCAGGCCTGCTTTCTATCCTGGCTTGGTAGAGGACCCTTGGTTTCTAATCTGTTCTCTTGAAACATGATTACTGCATCAACTTACGCTGATGCTTGTTATTTACAGATTCCATAATTATGAATTCACCTTTCTACTTAAATTAATATATAAGCCTCCAATCAAACAGTTCATTCAGGGTCATCCCCAAACTTAGGCAGAGATGTGACCCTAACGCTTTGGGTGGACAAGTGGCTTCCCAGTTGAGGTCAAACAAGACCATGCGCTCTCTTCTTGGGTTCTTGGATTGAAAACAAGTGCTCTTTTCACAAACTGCAACTAGACTTTTTTTGTGGTTTTTTGAGTGATTTTGCTATTAAAAATCACCCCAACCCTAGAGTAGAAGTGGAGACTAGTGTCCTAAGTGCAGGATTCTGTAGGGCGAAAATGCACACTCAAATAAACCTAATAAACTCGATTCAGGCATGAGTTATGGCGCGATCGGCTATGAGCTCAATGAATCAACAAAATATGTTCAACAAAGTATTATAAAACAGAATTGGAGGGTTTTTTATTGGTCATTTGTGAAAATGTTGCACCAGCTCGTCGAGGGGACTGTTTTTGCTCTAGAAGCACTGGTTCAGATTACTCTCTTCCTCTCCCAGGCCTTCACAATCCCCTTCAGGCGACTTCAGCTCAATCAGGCTGGAGTTGGGCCTGAGCGCCCCACCAAGCTGGAGTGGGCGCCCTCCGCCGGATGCGATGCGCGCAGTCGCCGGCAGGTGGCGCTGGACGGTGGGCTCCTCCCGACGCGGTCTGGGCAGGTGGACTGGAAGGGGCGGAGGTACCCGAGAGCGGCCAGTGGTGGCTGGCCCTGCGCCGCCCACCCCCTCCACGCAGCGCTAAGGACACGCGCGCACTGACAGGGCGCAGCGGCGGGGCCAGCTGTGGTCTGAGCTGGGGCGCCGCTGCCTGTTTGTCTGCGAAGCGCCGGGGCTCCCGCCGCGCTCAGTCAAAAGTCGGCCACCATGGAGGCGCAGGCACAAGGTGAGTGGTCGCGGAGCGCCCCAGGGGTCAGACCAGGCGCGCGTAGAGGCGCTTTTCCTGCGCCGCCTAACTTTGCTCTCCGAGAGAGCGGATCCGTGCATCTGCACACGTCCGCAACTCTGCTCCTACCCGTGCCTGCGGGTAATTCCTGCTTCCCCAAACTAAGGCTTTGCTGAGACGGGGGGGCCAGGGAAGGAGACGTTAAGTAAAGAAGTCGCTTTGCCCACGAAAAGCTACCAGCTTCCCCAGCAGTGCCTACTCCCCTTCCATCCTCCACCACCCCTCGGGCCCCAGAGGACCTGTTGTGCGGGGTCCTAAGGCGGGATTCGTTCTCCCTTCCCTCGGGGGTGTGGGGAGGGAGCGCGAATCCGCTGGCCCAGAGCCGCAGGCTCTGGTCCTGCAGCAGCAAGTTCCTTGCGGAACAGGGTGGCTTCCGCAGAGCCTGGGGATTTCCCGGCTACTCCGGCCGCTAGGGCCCCGGGACGGCCTTCCGAGGCGAGGGGAGCGCAACCCACTCGCTGAACTCCCGCAAACGTGCGTCCGGGTTTCTGCGGTGCGGGAGCGACCTCTGCCTACGCTGACGCGAGGGCCCGGCCGCGGTCTGGCCACCCCTCCTGGCTTCTCTAAGGGCAGCCTCGTGCCCGGAGGTTACCCTCAAGCAGAGTTAGGGCATCTCCATGGCTTGGTGCAAGAGTGGGAGTGAGCAGACGGTGTAAAGGAACAGAGGTGGGCTGATGTGAGCACGAGGCCTTAGAAAGGACACTGACCCTGGAAGTCAACGTGGGGAGCATCGGCTAGAGGGACGGATTGTGGAGTTCAGCCTTTCAAACAATCAGCACCAGCTCTCCTCTTTACTGTAAGGAGTTTGGTGATGGCTTTTGAATCGTTGATGGCCCGTTTAAAAAGAAAAAAAAGAAAAGGTTTCTAACCATGTGCAGCAGCCCTCTGGGTGCAGAAGTGTCCTGAATGGAAGGGGTTTGGCGGGTGCCTGGGCTTGGAGACACCCAACAGGTGCCTGGATTACAGTTGTCTGAATAGCAGGAATCCTTCTGGTTCTTTCCACAGCCAAGATCCTGCCCTTAAAAGCTGTCTGCTCCCGGTTCCCCCACCCCACCCCACTCTCTAAAAAGGAAAGGAAAATTCTACCAAGGGTGATACTTATTTGGTCAAATTCAAAAACAAAGGTGGCCTTGGAGGACTTTGCTCCTGAACCAAAGCAGCTGAGACCACCCCTGGAGCAGACTCGAATTATTTTGGAGAGTTTTAAATAATCAGATAGCTCTCAAACCAATCAGGTTACAGTCTCTGGAGCCTAGGCCCAGAGATGTAAATGCTTCCCCAGGTAATTTTATTTTTCAGTAGGGTTGGAGAAAAACTACAGCTCGGAAATATTCTGTAGATTCTGAAGCCATATAAAGAGTAGTGTGGAACCATCGCTGACATTGGGTTGTTTTACTAGTTTGATTTGGTGGGGCCATTTAATTCAATATTTCAGTGCTTTCCTTTGCCCAGAACTGTGCTAGGAGGAGCAGACACAGACTTAATTTCTGCTGCATGAATTTTAAGGAAGAGGATGGCCATTCATTGGCATAGCTGTTTTGGTGAATGTAAAATTGCAACTGTGTCCATGAGATGAAAAAGGGTCACTAGTCAACAAGCCCAGGCTGAAAAACTCTATGTCTACTAGGGGATAACAAAATGACAAAGTAGCTGTGCCCCTGTTTCTGTTCTTTGTTCTCTGCATGTGTTGACTGATTTCGAGACAGTTCTAGTTGATGGGTAGTGCTTTTCTCCCTATTCTGTAGAGAGGAACAAAATCTGCCACTTTCACAGGAAAGATAAGACTTAATTCCCACCCCCACTCCCACTTTTCCTGTGCCCCCTGCTCAGTCTTAGCCTTCCCCTCATGACAAAGTGGAAGCTCAGGGGGTGGGTAGAACAGTTGAAAAGCAAATGGGGGCCTTCCCTGGTGGCACAAAGAGTTAAAGCACAGCGTTCTGAAGCTTTCCAAAGCCACTGCAGCAGGAGTTCGATCCCCCACCAGGGAGCTGACCCACATGGCGCGGCAAACCTCTCCTGACCCCCTTGCTGCTCTCCTCAGCAGTGTACTTGGTCAGTCAGCCTGCTCTGCTCCCCACTCTGTCTCTGGTGAATCTTCTCACCCACCACACCTCCGGCCTGTACCCCAGGTCTTTAAGCATAAATAAGTAAACATTAAAAAAAAATAGCAAATGGAGTAGCCTGAAGGAGTCTGAGACTAGGGTGTTGATCAACCAGCAAGAGAAAAGTGAACAGATTTAAGAAATACTTAGGAAGAAAAGTCAAAATAACTGTTAATGGGTATGAAGGCAGGTGGAGGCGAGGGGTCCCAGTGTGGTACTCTACAACCAGATGATATTTCGCTCTTAAGCCCTCATTTCCCTAATACATGAAATTATTCATTTTATGACTTTTGTTCACTTAAGCCACAGATATGTTATGTTCTTTAAGGGTAAAACTTCTCATGAAATGTTTCTAATGTATATTAAAGGAAAAATCTTTCCACTTGGCTAAAGGATTTTGCCTTTTTTTAAGAGTCCTGTAGTTCCTAAGTGCAAATTTCTGTCGTCAGCACAGCTCATTTTGGAATTAACTAGGGTGGGGATGGCTTCACTTTCTTGATCTGCTAATTGATCTTTGTTGATCTGGAGTCAACAAAGATGAATGGTTCAGTGCAACTGTTGATTAGATGAACCTGTGCTTTCCAGAAAAGCCCTAGCTAGGTGTGTATGGTCATCATTTGTACACAGCTCCACACCTATTTCCCTTGTATTTCCTTTGACTTTGTAAGGATTACGTCCAGCTGAAAAAGAAGACATCTTAGGAAGTTGGCAGAAGGGCAAATACAGAAGTGGGATTTCGAGGAGGGGCAGTATGGAACAGTATTTTCTGACTTTCACCAGCTCAAGCAAATGGTGCTTTACTATAATTAATACACTAGAGAAGGACTAGGGTGGTAAGCATTTTCTGAAAAAAATGTGGCAGTTCTTTAATATAAAAAGTCTCATCTTTTAAAACTACCTGTCAATATTTCATTACTGTCAAAATAACTTTGTTTTCCCCAATAGCTTCAATGTTAAAAGGAAAATTTGCTCTTTAGTTAACACTTGTATGCATTCAGATTAGTAGTCATATTCCTTTTTTATGACTACAGTAACAAAATGATGACAAATTTAGTTGCTTAGGACAACAAAGTTATTTTTCACCGTTCTGAAGACTAGAAGTCTCAAATCACTATCCCTGGACCAAAATCAAGATAACAGCAGGACTTCACTCCCTGTGGTGACTCTAAGAAAGAATCTGTTCCTTGTCTCTTCCAGCTTCTGGTTCCTGCTGGCCTTCTTTGCCATCTCTCCAAACTCTGCCCCTCTGGAGATAATGAATTCTCTTCTGCCTGTCACATTTCCCTCGGTCTCTCATATAAGAATGCTTGTGATCTCCTTTAGGGCTCAGAGAGCTAATCCAAGATAATCTCCCCATCTCAAGATCCTTAACTTAATCACATCTGCAAAGACCCTTTTTCCAGATAAGATAGTATTTACAGGTTCCAGGGATTAGGACCTGCTATCTTTGGAGGATATTTGTCAGCCTACTCCAATAGCTATTTTTATATTGAGACAATGTATTCAGGAGGATTCTCAGAAGTCCATTAATGGCATGAAGTAATGAATGGCAGATTATTCCTACCTGTTTGCAAATTCCATTAAAGTGAATATATATGTATGTTCCATAATACTTACAGGACATTTATTCTCATCTTTTTCCAGGAAGAATTTAGGGCAGTTTATTGTATATGAATATGTAAAACATAGCAAAATATTGTAAATAGATATTGGAAATAGATCAAAGAAAATCAAATAGATAAAGAATGGAAAATGAGACAAGGAATGAAGCATAAGAAGAATACAGTTATACGCTCTTTGTTAATACTGCATGGAAAACAAATTCTTGCTCTGTAAAAAGGGATGATGTTTTCTACAATGCAATAACTCCTCTTTCCCCTACCAAATTGCAGTAGGTTCATTCTCTCTCTTTTTTTTTTTTTTTTTAAGATTTATTTATTTGTGCATACAGAACTGGGGTACAGGCCAGAGGCTCAGGGGCGGCAAGAGGCTTCACCAGAGACAGAGTGGGGAACAGAACAGGCAGATCGGCGAAGTACACTGCTTAGGGGAGCAGCGGGCGGGTCAGGAGAGGTCTGCCACGCCATGTGGTCTTCTCTGGGGCAGGCGGGAATCGAACTCATGCGGAAGCGGCTTTAGATTCTCAGTGCTGTGCTTTAACCCGCTGTGCCACCAGGGAGGGCCAGTTCATTCTCTTTTTTGTGGGAATCAGATTACACAAGAAAAAAATGATTTTGCTAGCTTCAAGGAATATAATCATAAACCTTGAATTATAAAAGCTAAAAAATGTGCGTTTTGATTTATGATTTTAAAGATTATTATTAGTAGTCTTAACTATATTCAAAGCTACCTCATATAGTTTTATTTTCCCCCTAAATAAAAGTTTTAAAGTGGATAGTTATATATACATTAAATGAAGTGATCATTTGTAACAACCTATGCCATTGTTATAATAAATCTTTATAAAATGTAATCTTATACTCAGTAGATATTACAGTACACTGAAATGTGTTTTGAATTGCTTTCCTTAGTACATTTTGTTTTCCGAATACTGTAGGTAATCAAAATCTGTGAGCTTGCTTAAAAAAAAGAATCATAATAAGCAAGAGAGTCTATTTTTGTGGTCTATAATACAGCTTGGTTCTGAATGAGATACAGTAAGTACTTCAGCAAAAAATGACTTGTTAAGTAATTATTTCAACAAATATTTATTGTTTACTATAATAATAGCAAATATTCATCAAGCACTATTAAGAGATAACATGGGATAGTGACTAAAATTCTAGAATCAAGGCAAACTGCTTATATTTTCATCCTTTCATTATTATCTCCCACCAA